TGCGGGCTCAAGAGACTGGGAAACAGTGTGTGTCGGCATTCCAGCACTTGTTTAATGAGCCATGTCCAAAGTTAGAAATCACGCCTTATGGCACCTAGTCAGTTGTGCAGATGGTTAGTTTGCTTCTAATGCTTCTAATGTTAGTACACGAGTGTTTACAATTTCTAGATGTTGTGCGTTTAAATTGGGTGTAATTTAATTCTGAAAAGTAAATAGTATAACCAACATCTTTTAAATATTCCAATTTAAGGTATAATCTCAAAGCAGGACATTTATATACCAATTTTATCACAAAACTAAAATCAGACAATTGCTGCCCCAAATTGGTTTCTATGGGAATAGTATGCTGAAAAGTAGTTTTTCCCTAAATTCACCCAACATTTTGAGAATTGCCTAAATATATTTAATAAAATTTAAATAATATATATGCTGTATCAGTTTAAAATGACCATTTTACCTATTTTAAACAACAGAGTATTATTTTGTTCATGCCCAAATATCTATTAAAATAATTCATAGGTATTTTTACTTACAGAAAGTAAAGAAACATAAATAAGCTGAGCCGTAAATAACATTCTGTTTTTCAGATGATGTACACTGCCTGTTAGGGTGATTCTGCCCTTCAAGGGTATGACCCATGGCCTCATCCTTTATACTGTGAGACTATTTTTTAAGCTTCTATGTTCTCTTATCTTCTTTTTCTTGTTCCAAATGGCACGTGCCAATAAAGGCCAAGCTTATTCTAGAAGACAGGGATCAATAGTATTCATAAAGTTGAGAGAGGAAGATAGATAGGTACAGAGATTATTACAAATAACAATGATAACAACAAACACACAACATACAGGTGACACTGAAGCTTGGTCTTTAAACACATATATTTGCTAGACAAGACACAGAGATGGAAAAATCCATGCTCTGCCTGGTGACCAGGAAGAAATTCAAGGTAAAAGGAGTATAGTGTATCTATCTATCTATCTATCTGATAGGAAATGGCAAGTGCTGGAATGGGGTAAGTCAGGGCTAGAATGTGACAGAGTTCACTTGGACTTTTTTTCCTTTAGAGAGTAGGAACCATTCAAAGGTCTTAAGCAGGAAGACAATGCCAGGTGTCCGGAGAAAAAAGGGGGAAAAAAATCATGGCAATATGGGTGAAAGAAAGATTATGGATGACAGATCAGAACGAGGAGAGACTAGTTAATTTTGCAATATTCGAGGCATTAAGACCACTAGACCTTAAGACAGCAGCAACAGAAATATATAGTTTCAGGAGCCCCATTAGAGGTAGAAGTGAGAGAGAAAAGGAATTAGGAAGTGACTGACTGACAGACACTGACATTTCTTTTCTGGGAGATGAGATTAAAGCTGGCACCAAAGAAAGAGTTCTTAGAATATATTTCTGCTTGGCCCCCCCCCCCCGACCCTGGATTGAATTTACTTCTCAGTGAGAGGCAGGGCAACCAGGCAACAGCAGCCCTCTCCCACACTGTGGGCACGGTGGAAGAGGAGGACATGGGACAGGTATGGCCCATGGGCAAGGTGGTAAGCCAGAGGCAGTACCGGGCTATGTTGAGCAGACACCATTCCTGCAATAATCCTGTACAAAAGAGGATCAAAACCTACATAGCACACTTGCCACCGCACCAAAACATGAAGGATCTTAAATCCTGAGGTGGCGGTGGGACTACATTTTACCTGACATAGGTTTGTCCCATGCACATTCCATCTCATCACATGGCCTCTTATTCTAATTCCGTGACTCAGCTCTGAGTCTCCATTTCCTCATCAGTAAAGCAGGGCTAATAACACTCGCCTTGTCTACTTCTCAGGGTTGCTGTCAGGCTGTAATGTAATAATATAAATAAAAGCATCCTAAAATCCTTAATACAAAATACTGTCTGAGTGTTGTTATTTTTAGTACCTGGCCTTTTCTGAAGTCGGAAGATGCTGAACACAGAAACAGGTTTTTGAAATTCAGAGGTTAAGACTTGAAAGAATGGCTAGGATGTAATAATTTTACACAGATAGATACACTTAACAGGCTTTTGAAACTGAACACTTTTCTATGTTTTTTGAAGTATAAACCATTTGGTCTAATATAAACTAGTACCTAATTACTATTTATTGATATGGAATACATTTTTAGGAAGAACATTCCATCCCCATCAAAGTAGTTGTTTCTATTTCGCTATCAGCCACATTTCTTCCATTCTTTATATCATGGCACTGAAACTAAACTTCATACACTATTAATCTACAAGGTTCTTTAATGTAAACATTATAACTGACGTTTCAGTAATGTCTCAAGCAAATGTCATCTGTCGCCCGGAAACCCTCATCTAGCAGAACATTTCAGTGGAAAAACTGAGTTTCTATTTTACTGTTTAATTTTGCATAAAAAGAAATCATTAAAGATGAGAACACTGTTGGATAAAAGCTTACAAAGGGGCCTGACCCTAACAGAGGCTTCCACTGGGCCTCTCATTCATTTACAGGCCGGGCCACCAGCAACCTGTTAACATGCACCACCAAAGCTGTCCCTTCGTCCTTTCTGAGTACCTCTGACACACTTGGTCTTCCAAGTCGACATAGCATTCTCTTGAGCAGGGCCTCTCCCGCACATGTTCAGAACTTTTAAAACATAGATTCTGAGGGGAAAAAGAGGAAAAGCAAAAAGTCAATGTATAATGACAAATTCCTAAGAAGTGGTTGTTTCTGGGTAACAAGGTTTGGATGATTTTTTTTTTCAGCTTCTTCAAACTTCCTGTACTCAGATTTCCTACGCTAAGCATGTATTACCCATACAATTTAGGAAATAATAAAGGAAAAAAAGTATTCACTAATTAAAAACAAATCTGTTCTTCTAAGTAAGTTTGGATAAAGCAAATTGAAATCTTATATAGCTTGACTCTGATGTGTTTTTAATGAGAGCTAGCATATATGTTTCAAAAAGTTGCTTTTAGATGATACAGAAATATGGGAGGTGACCATCATAAGCACATAGCACCACATCTACATTGCTTGTTCTCTATTCTCAGCAGCCTTCAGTGTAAAATAATTTTGTTGTAAACCTGAGGTCTTCTATGGTAAGCAGAATTTTGGCCGCCGTGATCTTCGTGTCCTGGTTTTAACACCTGTGAATATGTTAATGTGACTTGGAAAAAGAGGGACCTTATAGATGAAATTAAGTTTGCTACCCAGCTGGCCTTAAATAGGGAGGTTATCGAAGTGAGCCCTATTTAATAGCACGGGCCCTTACAATCAGAAGAGGAAGGCAGAAGAGTCAGCCAGTCAGAGATGTAGTGAAGAGGCAGGCGACATTTGCAGCATAAGCCCCCTGTCAGTCAGTCACTGGCTTTGAAGGTGAAGGGAGCCATGGACCAGAGAATGATGCTGGGCTCTAGAAGCTGCAAGTGATCCTTAGCCAAGAGCCACAAATGAAATAATGGGACTGCAATCCCACAGCAGCACAGAACTAAATTCACCACCAACTTGAATGAGCTTTGAAACAGACTCCTCTGCCCCAGAACCCTGCCCTACCAATGCTTTGGTTTTCAGCCTGTGTGACTCGACGCAGAAACACCAGCTAAGCCCGCCGAACTTCTGACTTACAGAACCGTAAGACAATAAATTTGTGTTGTTTAAGTCACTGTTTGTTTGTAGTAACTTCTTATGGCAGCAATAGGAAACTAATACAATGGCTAAAGTTAGAAACTACAGTGTACAACAAGGAAGACAAAAGTGGGCAAAGATGGTATGGACTCCTCTCCAAGGAATCACAGCAAGCAAAGTTCTACAATGGCTTTGTCTGTAACTATTAATTGAGTTGCAGAATATTAGCTTAACGACTGAACAGAAACAAAACAGCTTTCAAATTAACCAGAGACTTTAATTTGATTTTGTGAAAAAAGCTTATAAGTAATCAGATGATAGGCTGCTTTTCTCTTTTGTGTTTGTTACCTATGAGTTTGTACAGTGCAAGTATTAACTAGGGAGAGCCTATAACTATGAAATGCTGTGTAATGCAAGAAGACATCTTTACCACACAGTTGCTGGAAGACATTCTTCCCACTGATCATTTAACACTCACAAAAAATACATAACAAACAAAACTGAACTTTGAATCTGTGGTCATTAAAACACAAAAGCACTAAGAGTCTGGTCTTTTTTTCCCCTTCCTGAAATAATGAATTATAG